GTCAAACCATCTAAAAATAACTTATTTCTCTCGCTACCATACGTTTCCCCTAATTTATGGACAGAGGCATTTTAAGGAAATTCATCAAGCCTATCCAAATGGCAAGTTCTCATGTTGTTGTGGGATTCATCAGGGATACCATAACGCTAGCAACACTTTAGAAAGTTAAGTGACTGACTTTTCCCTCATAGATCCTAAGTCAATCAGAATTGAAACTTGCTCTTATCTGTCAGGTGACAATTTGATGCTGATCAGCCACATTGTCCATGCTGCAGCAAAGCCATATCAAGAATCAAATAATTTTTCTTGACCTTGTGTTAACTTGAGAATGCGTTCCAGCTCTAAAGATCTCAATCTTATAATGGATGAAAAATAGCTTTTTTTTGGCATAAACCAAAGAGAATGTCTCGTGGATAAAGTCAACCTGAACGTTGTATAAAGACCAAACGGATGCAGCAAAACGATAATCAGCCGTCGTCTTCTGGTGGAATCAGCCTGCAAATCTTTTAATCATGCATTTTCATACAAAAAGAAGGTCTCCTCAACAAGGTTTTCATTAAAATTGGGCTAGTTTACCCATGCAAGATGGTTTTTCCGCAAGGCATAAATCATCAATAGTATGGTGCAAGTAAGGCACTTTGTATTTAACTTGGCAGAGTTGTTGTCTATATCCGCTACAAATCCACAGTTTTCTGTGTGTCCCGGAGCAGATATGACTTTCAAGGAAAGCCAGGTCTCGAAAAAATCACATTTAAAGTAAGATCGTGGATTAGGCAAACATGCATTTGCCCTTAGAATCCATGTATTTACTTATATTCGGTATGAATGGTTAGTTATTAAATCATTTTACATATTAATTAATTAATTTGTCCCAAACTGGATTGCTCAAAAGGCGGAGAAGTTGACATGGGCAATCTAGACTATGTTTAAGTATTTTTCGTATGTAAGTAGAGTTTCGAGACTAACAGTAAATCAGTAATATGAAGTGTATTCACCCTATTTTGTTTAAAGTCATGAAGGACTGGTAGAAGAAGACATTTCCCACCATGATATGAGTAGAGCTGACGTGTCCAATTAATTTCACATAGCCTTCCTTTTCCAAAAGTGGTTCTCAGCCCAGCTTCGATCTCTCCTCGGTCTTATCAACACCCCCAGCGGGAGTCGAACCGTGACAGTACAGAATGGGAGCTTGACACGTCAAACACTCAGCCACATTGTCTCGAGGGCAGATGTTAATTTCAAGGAAGGCTAGGTCTTTTTCCATGCCACATTCTTTGCTGGGAATATTGATGAAACAAACGTATTTTTGCTATAACAATCGACTATATTACTTATTTTTTGTATGTTTGTATAGTTTCGAGATTGCCAGTAAATCAGTTATATGATAGGCATTCATAATGTCAGCTCTACTCATATCATCGTGGGAAAATTCTACTACCAGACGTTCATCACCCTAAACGAACTAGGGTGAACGCATCTCGTATAACAGAATTACTGGCATTTTTGGGACTTTCATGTCGTATGAAAGTGTATGAAGAAGAGATTCGAAGGCCGATCTCACCAGAAAAGGACGTTTGAATCGAGACTTTTATACTACGCTCAGATTGAAGCGATCCAAGAAACATCATCTTCTTGTCTTAGCGTTAACTTGACAATTCTACATGATGTCCATCATATGATGGACGAAAACTCAGTCCGTTCTCACCTGAAAAGAGGGAGGAGGTCTCGTGAACTGCATCAATCTCAACGTTGTATAAAAGCCAAATGGCTGTAGTACAACGGGATTCAACCGCTCTCTTCTGGTGAGATCGGCTTTCGAATCGCTTCTTCATACACTTTCATATGAAATGAAACTCCCAACAATAATATTATATCAGGAGATTACTCGAAATCAAGTTACTCTTCATATATGCTTTAGTGGTAGTCTCGAAACTCTACTTATATACGAAAAATAAGTAATGTAATCGATTGTTATAGCAAAAATACGTATTCTTCATCGACAATCTCACCACAGAATGTGATATGGGAATAATCCTGGCCTTCCTTGAAATTCACATCTGCCCCGTGACCCTAGGGCACTCTTGGCGATGCGGCCGACTGGCTAACCTGTAAAGCTCGCATGCTACCCCGTCACGGTTCGACTCCCGCTTGGGGTGTTGATAAGACCGATGCGAGGTCGAAACTGCAGTCCGCTGGCGCCTGGATGAGAGAACTTTTGGGAAATGGAAACATCAGCTCTACTCATATTATTGTGCGCAAATTCATCACCTCAAACGATATAGGGCGAATACATTACATATATGACCGCCTGACCGCCCGACCAACCGAACAACCAACCACATCCACTCAGCTATTAGAAGGGTTTTCATGGACCCCTTATTTTCGAATTGGGACTAAAATGATGCAACCCAACGCTCCTGCCTGCATCTACAGCCCACTGGAACTTGAACTAATCTTTTGATACCTGGTCAATTTCTTATGTTGTAACTAGCCTGGACCCACCAACTGTGGTAGCACAATGTTCACTTAAATTATAGCAGGCGGAGTTTCCCGTCATCTGTTAACTTGGCTTCGGTAGAAAGAAAGAAACTTTCCCAAAGTAGACTGAATAATGGTTTGATTAGCAACCACTTGTGTGCGTTAACAAGCAGAACGAATTATCTGTACAGCCTCCGAATTGCAGAGCTGATAAAAGCGAACTGGCGTTCTTTAAAAGTCATATATTTTTTAATAGCCACAGACTTGTAGGCACTGGCTTGAAAAATGTGTAGGAATTCTGTCTGAGAGAAATATTTGCACAGCTCCAGAAATCTTAATTATGCATCCTCAGGCCGCCTGAAACATTGGTAAGACGAGTGAATCTGCCTGATCCATGTCGATGGAAGAGAGCCGCCAGCTCTTTACGGTAATTTTTTCTTGCCCCAAAAGATAACTTGGGATGTTCGCAATAAGTTGTACTAATTGTGAAGGATTAGAACAGGCCACATATTTGCTCATAGATTGCCTTGATGGGAATGTTGTTTCGTTGAACACTCGAGTTTTGGCCGATTTGTCTTACATCTCGGTTTTTTACCGCATGGAATGTTGGATATATACTCCCATTCAGCATCCCACAAATGGCATTACAAGAGTCGCAATAAAAAACCAACATGATTGCACAATCAAAGGATGTCTGCCAAAAAGATTAACGCTAATGCGAAAAGGGACATAATTTCCAGTAAACTTGGCTTCACCAGGCAACAGGCGAAAATGTATTACACACATTTTATCAAGCGTCTAGATTAGTAAAACATTAAAAACTTCACTATTCTCACCGTTTTACAATGGCCGTCCTTCTGTCCATCTGTTCATCTGTCAACCTTCCTTCATGATAATGGGCGAACAAGTTAAGTGGCTCCATTGCTCGGCAAGGTTAAGGCATGCACGACACATAATTTTTGTTTTAAATAATCTCATTAATATGAGATGAATTCACCGAATTTCGTTTAAGGTGATGAAGGACTGGTAGAAGAATTTTCCCACAATTATATGAGTAGAGCTGAGTGGTTAACATGTCAAGCTCCCATTCTGAACTGTCACGGTTCGACTCCCGCTAGGGGTGTTGATAAGACCGATGCGAGGTCGAAACTGCAGTCCACTGGTGTCTGGATGAGATTAACTTTTGGGAAAACAAAGCTATGTGAAATTCAATGGAAACGTCAGCTCTAATCATATAATTGTGGGAAAATTCTTCTTCTACCAGTCCTTCTTCACCTTAAACGAAATTTGGTGAATACATCTCATATTACTGATTTACTGGTAGTCTCGAAACAATACTTAAATGCGAAATGTAATCTCAGTTTATATGATGAATTGACGGTTGCTGGTTAAAATCAAACGGCAGACTATGGAGAATGCGCTGTTGCCTCTGTATCTATTCATCACACATTTGTCTGGTATCTTGTTTTGTTTTTAAAGACGGATGTAGGGGATTCATGAATTGGCTTCATCGAAACAGTGGGCCAGGATTCATTGGAGCAGAAGAGTATTCCACCGAGGTCATCTTCCCACAAATTCACATTCATAACTGAAGGGTTTATGATGAGGCCAATTTACGAAGGCATATTAAGCATCTCTTCAAATGAACTAAAAGGTTTGACAGTAAGAGTCTATTAAAGAATTCTTCGAAATCCCTTTTCTCTTTACCCACTTTCATACAAAATGAAAGTCACTGGCTCAACAATCTAATCAACATTCAATGGAAATATTCGTATCAGGTAGTTTTCGGATATGAATTTTTTTCGTAAAGCCTGCTCTAAAATGTACCATTTTTACTGAGTAAAACAAATCATTTTATTCTTCACCAAAATGTAGTTCATCCTTCTCTAAATATTCTGCAGCTTCAACGCAGTGTATAGCAACGTTACTTCACAAGCTTCCATTAACCTTACTGATTTCCAGTATATGGTGAAAATATAGGTTTCGAAGATCTTAACAATTCCATATCATCAGGCCTTTCATATCAAATGATTTGAGTCACAATCTCGCTACACTGGGAATCAAATGAAGATTTTTTTACAGTTTTGCTTGTAAATTCGAGCCTAAAAGTCCCGAAGACAGATGAACCATGTTCGAATGTCGAATATCTTCAAGGAAGAGAGGATACCTATAAGCCAATGAGCACTTCTAAGCAGCTTCATTGAGAAATTTTGGTGGCGGATACTTTTATGCTATGACAAGGTTTGTCATTGCGGTATGCATGAAGGACCAGCATGGCTGGATACGATAGCGATTTCTATAGTCAAAGCAATAGTAATAACTGCCATAAAACCTTACAGTAAGACCAATTTTCCAAATCTCTCCACCCGTCTTATCACTAACAGTAAAAGCTACATGACACTTTTCGATAATTTTTTATTTTAGTTGGTCAGTTTTGCCTTAGTTGAGCCAAACTGAGAGGAGAAATGAGAGCAAGCCTAAAATCCGGTTTTTTTAAAGTCTCCGAAAGTAGAAATAACAGTAGGATGATATGCCCAGACAGATTTCGTTTAGACTCCATAAGTGTGAAATAAGCAGAGGATATGTCATGGGGTTTAGATTGCGCAATCACTTTACGAAAAATTTTGATGGTTTTAAAGTCTCAAGGAAGTCAGTGAAGAGCGAATAAAAAGTAAGCTGGTAAGTAAATATAAAGTTTGACAAAGAACCTGTAGCCACGATGTGTCGCATAAGGAGACGAGGGACTGATGCTAGTGAAGTTCAGTTAACTCATCAGGGCTGGACTTCAATTTGACCTCGTCTGGATAGCTTCAGAAACCTCAACTGAAATATGCTCTGAAGTTGTTGGGCTTGATTCTCGTTTGGGGTGCTGACGAGACCAAGGCGAGATCAAAACTACAGTTCAGTCTGGATTAGACTATCTTTTTAGTCAAATATTCTACGATATCTTATTCTGTATCTACTGGGGGTATTAAATCTCCCTCAATAGGTGTATAGGAATATGTAAATAGGATAATGTATAAGAATATATTATTATACATTTTGAGTGGGTCCAACTCAACAGGATACTTGAAGCTGAGAGATTTCTCGAATTTCGATGAGCTGGCAATTTGGGAAATGATTCATTTTGGAGAAAGTGGTCTGTCTATGGGTTTTAGGAGGATACATATAATCCATACTGAAACCTATTCCAAAATCGAGACGTAATCAAGAATGATTTGCCGTCCGGAATGCATTATTATGCTACCTTTCAAGAATTCTGTTGAAAGTAACTGATTTTCGATGAATTTCCTAATATTTTCCAATTTAACTGCCCATATTTTTGTGAAAAATATGATGACGACACTCGAAAATAGATCTCATCGCTAGACGACAGCGAACATTCCTGCGGCCCCTTTTCCGGTTCTGACTAAAATTAAATAAGTTATTGTATGTTATTCCGTTGGACTGACATCAAAAATGCTGGATCTCGTTCCTATATCGACTTAAAGCATGCAAAGTGTTGCGAGCCCGATTGTTCTGTCCAACGACATAGCACAACGTAAACAAAGATGGTTAGCTTAAAAGAAGAAGAAGCGTGAAGTTGTCAAGGAGTTAAAGGGAAATCTGCAGTGAGTTCAACCTAAAGAATCTTTTCTTCCCTACTTGCCTACAAGACTAAGGTCAACTAAACAACGATATATCAGGAAATTCTTTGAAAACTATTTACTGTTCGTATATCAAAATATCTTAGCACAAATTGGTTTTTCCATGCTTTTAACAAAATATAAATTAATTTTTATGCCTGCTTTCCTGCCATTTTCAGTAAAGACTGGCTTGCAAATCATTCTAATGCATTCTCGATTTGAACCCAAGAGTCACTCTTAGCGAGATGAATCCTCATTCCCAAAAAATTATTCCTTAACTTATTAAAATTGTCGAACTTCAGGAATTCTCTTGACGCTTAACATTCTAGTGAGTGAGCACATTAAGGAATTTTGGGATAGGCTCTAATTTCTGAATACATCTCAGGATGTATTCACCAAATTTCGTCTAAGGTGATTAAGGACGGATAGAAGAAGAATTTTCCCACAATGATATGAGTTGAGCTGACGTTTCCACTAAATTTCACATAGCCCTGCTTTCCCAAAAGTTGTTCTCACCCAGGCACCAGTGGACTGCAGTCTCGACCTCGCATCACCTTAAACGAAATTGGGTGAATACATTTCATATTACTGATTTACTGGTAGACACGAAAACAATACTTAATTCGAAAAATACAATTTTGTCTTCATACATTTTCTTGATTGCATATTTCTAGCCTCTCGATTCACTGTTATACACAGATATTCACATTATGTTCCGGATAAAATTCTAGTAACGACTATCTCTATTTAGACCTCGATAAAATAAGTTGCATTTCTTTCTGTAGCTCTCCAGAAAACTCCCTATACTGGCAAGCATTATTTTTGCTTAGCACCAAACTGACACACATAAAAATATAATTAATCACAACAATTGATATTTCAAAGCATAGCAAGCAGAAAATTTGCATGACTTAGGCATTTGGGTGCTTGACCAAAGTTAAGATGGTTGATGATCTGCTTTAGGTGCAAACCCATATTGCCCCAACAGTCTGAATTTCCCGTGGCCCTGTGTTAAAGCTGTAACTTGTCACCATCTTCCGTGCAAAACCCGGTCTCGAATCCTGTTGAGAGTGCATAAGAGCTCTAGGCAAGTTTGAGATTGCGCTCCAGTCGAAAAAATCGAACCTTGTGAGAAGTAAGACTGAGTGAAATTCATTGGTACCATGAGGCCGACTTATTGTAATGTTGTAAATTCTATTATTAAAAAAATAAATAACCTTAAATAAATAAATAT